CCCGCCGGCCGCCCCCTCCCCTCCAGCCTGGCGGGGCCGGGGGCTGAGGGTCACCTCTCTTTCGGTTGGGATGCAGGCTGCGGGGGGTGCAGAAGGGCTGGGGAGGTGGGAAGGGGACAGAGAGCTGGGACACGGCCCCAGGGAGGGCAGAGGGAGGGGGAGCCCCGGACCCCAGGAGAGGCTGGCAGGGGCATGCGGGCAGGGGGGCAACGGGACGGGGCAGAACCGGGCTTGCGTTCACCCGCCATCAGATCCACGAAAGGTCTAAGATAGAAAAGAGAGAAGCTGTGAGTGGGGCCAAGAGCTGCCCCAGGGTGTCCCTGCGGCCCCCCATCACAGTGAGCTACGGCCGCGCCGTCCAGTCCGGGTAGAAAAGCGGAGGCTGCGGTCACAGCCGGGTCTGCGCCTCGGGGATGTAGATCTCGATGCTGTCTGCGCTCTCGGTGGCCGAGCTCTGGCGGAAGGAGGCAGCTCGCTTGGCTGCCAGGAGCCGCTTGCGGGCCTCCTGCCGCTGCCGGTCCACCGAGTCCAGGGAGCGCTCCTTCACCGGGTGCACTTTGGAGCGCGGCGGCTTCTTTGGTATCGGGGGAGGCACCTTCTTCTCCTCCTGCACAGACAACGGGGGCTTCAGGGCAAGCACGGGGCCAGGACCTCCAGGGAATGGGCATCCTGGTGGGCTCGGCACAGCCAGTGGGCGTGCGGGACACGTGCACTTCTGTGCATGGCGCTGACGCGGGTGGCAAAGCCAAAGCCATGGCGAGACAGCCCCACACCCCTCCTGCACCGCACTGAGTTGCGAGGCAGGGCTGAGCATCCCTTTGTCTGTCTGTGTGGGCATGAAGGTGCCCACAGCGTGCTGCCCCTGCCTGTGCCGAGACCCTGCCCGGCCCTTTGCAGGCAGCGCTGTCCAGAAACACCCAGCAAGCCGCCTGTGAGACTGCGCCGGGGGAACAGCCCCTTCTTTAGCCTCATTTTTCCCAGATCTTTGTTTTTCAAGTGTTTGCTAAAAGCAGTCACCGCCGACAGCCCAGCAGCGGCAGTTTGGGCACAGAAGTGCTTGGGGAGGAGGGACAGAGAGGTGACAGGGGACAAGTGCCAGCAGCCCAGCCCTTACCTTGGGCTCCACGATCTTCCACCCATTGGCCTTGAGCTGCTGGAGCTCTGCGAACTTCATGCTGACGTCCTCAATGGAGAGCTGCAGGAGGTCCCAGAAGCCGGCCAGGTCTTGGAAGGTGGGCACAGGGAATGCGTTGGGATCCTGCGGGGACAGAGGGACAGAGTGTCAGCCAAGTCCACCTGTGGGACATTGGCTCTGCTGGCCACATGGCCATCCCACCCCCACAAAGTCCCTTTTCCACCGGTTAAGGGTATGAGACTCCCTGCCCGCCATGGCTGACCCCATGGCACTGCTGCCCGGCACTCACCATGTTCTGCTGGCAGAGGCGGTAAAACTGCTGCACCTTCTGGGACATGAGGAGCTGGGCGCTGCCCACGGCGCTCCGGATCTTCTCCAGGACTGGTGGGGGGAAAGCAGACGGTCAGTGCTCCCGCGGGGCACGGAGCCTCTCCCCTGCACGGCGGGGATCTGCACCCCCTCGGGAGCAGCAGGACAGCTCAGATCCCCCAACCTGCATGAGGTCTCCTCCCTCCTCTGGACCCCGCTAGTCCCAGAGGGTTTCCCAGTGTTTCTTGCCCCCACCCAACCCCTTTAGCCTTGGCAGGGGAGATGCTCCAAGGTGGTCCCAAGGTGGAAGCACTACAGGACTGTGGCTGTGCCCCCCAGACCCATGGGACCCCCAGTCCCTCTTGACCCCACAAATCCCCCCGACTCACTCTCCTCTGGCAGGTCGTAGTCCTCAGCCTCCCTCTCCATCTGCTGGCACCAGCCCTCCATCTTCTCCACCTCTGCCTGCAGCAGTTTGATGAACCATTCCCCATCGCGGTGGCAGGGGGAGGCACGGCCAGAGTCGGGGAGGCTGCGGGAGCCCCGCTCCATCCAAGCATCCCGCCGGGGCACCTCCACCGTGTCATACTGCAGCTGGTAGTCCTCCCGGTATGCCCACTGCCCCTGCGTGTGCACCGTCTTGTACACCGCGTACTGCCGGCCAGACTCAGGCTCCGAGGAGTGCCGCTGGAAGGGGCGCCCGAACTGCAGGGCTTTGTCCTCGGTGGCCACGGCCAGGCCGGCAAAGCCCTCCAGCTCCAGGTCTGCCTGCACGCCCGCTGTCACGCTGTTGGAGCGCTTGAAGCGCGCTCGCCTGGAGAGAGCGAGAGCGCATGGGGACCCTCACAGCCAGCGAGGACAGCCCTGCTGCCCCATCCCCTCGCTGGGCGCCATCACGGGCAGGGCGAGGGGTGCCCGCAGGCAGGATGGGGCTGGGGACACCAGTCTGGACCCCCAAGCATTCAGGGCCACAGGGACAGCCCTGAGCAGCCGCAACCCACCGGTCCCTCATCTCCTCTGCTCTTAGCCCGTTTCCATGGCTACCAGCGATGGACCGAGGATGGAGAGGAGCATGCACTGGGGCTGCGTGGGCACGTTGCTGGAGCTCCCTTCCTGTGGGCTGTGCAGGTCCCAGCACACGGCACTCCCACCCCAGCCAAAACATCATGTGTTGTTGCAGAAAAGCCCAAAGGTTTTATCTGCACCTGGGCTGGGTTCAAACCCCAGGGCTGAGCCCCAGTGAAGGAGACCCAAGTACAGGGTGGGAGCAGGGAAGCCCCTTCCACGGGCAGTCCCTTTGCAGCAGCAAGGTGTGAGAGCAAAGGGAAGGCCAGATCCTGCCCCAGGTGTGGGCAGCTGGCCCAGGACAGGGAGGGTCTCAGCTGGAGGAGAGAGGGAAAAGATGCTGCAGAGCAGCTCAGGGAGCCCCAGGCAGACCCAGTCCCCCAGTGCAGCGAGCGTGGCAGGTCTCAGCCCAGCCCAGTACCTTTTGTCCTCCTCCACCTGCACCCCGATGGAGTGGAACTCCCTCTGGCTCCGGCTCTCCGTGTCCGAGTCAGAGATGGCCTCGACCTGCCGAGGGGCAGAAGGAGAGCGCTGGAGGATGGCCCCAAGATGCAGCGCAGAGGCTCAGCATCACCCACACCGCTCAGACAGCGGACTACAGGGAGGAGCGAAGCCCACCTGGACGCCGATGGAGGGTCGCCACTTCCGTTGCCGAGCCAAACTCCTCAGCTCCTCCCGGCCAGGGATGGCCTTGATGATGAGTGTGGAGGGCTTGGGAGCAGAGCGGGGCTGGACCGGAGGCAGGTTGAGGGCCACGGCCGTCACCTTGGAGCTCTCCAGGCTCTCGGCTGAGTTGCAACGGGCCGCGGCGTCTTTGGACCAGGCGGGGCTGCGGGCGACCTCGCCGGGCAGGTAGCTCTCATGGGTGGACTCAGTGCTGCTCTGCGCCGTGACGGAGATGAGGGGTTTGGCTTTGGTTCCTGGAGGGATGGGAGGTGGAGCTTTTCTGTAACTGAAGGCTGTTGTGGGAGAGGCGCAGGATGAAAAGGCGCGTGAAAACACAGACACTTGCTCATTTCCCGCCGCAAATGGGGGCCCCAGGGGAACAGTGCCCGCCCCCTCCCACAGCACGGGACTCGTGATCCCCGAGGGTTTGCACCTCATCCGGCTGAGATCCGGACTGGAGCTCAGAGGGGCTGTTTGGCTGGTTTATCCCCTGAAAAGGATCAGAAACCACCCCAGACGCAGGGTGGCCAAGTTGCTGCAGCACCCAGCAAGGGGCAGAGATGGAGAAAGAAACGGAGGGAAGGAGGGAATGGCAGATGGGCGCTGGGGGCACAGAGCAGCCCCCTGACCGGGATGCTCATGCCCTGAGCAGGTTGCTCACGCCCTGTGCCGGGGGCTGCACGGGGCCAGGGGCAGGAGGGGGGGCAGCAGCAGCCCTTGGCAGGTGCCCGGGCGAGAAGATGGGGAGACGCGGGGGTCCCTTGCGTGGCCGAGCCCCCACCACCCCCTGGGACTCACAAGTGCTGGGCTTCAGGATGCTGCTGGTGATGGGCGGTCCGGCGGGGGCCGACATGGAGAAGAGCGAGAGGCAGTCATCGTCCTGGGAGCAGCCCGCCTGGATGGCCCGCAGGTAGCTGTGGCTCCGCATGCGGAAGCAGCCGGGCAGGTCCAGCGCCTCCACGGCCTGCGACTCCACCTCGCCAAAAACCGACTCGCAGACGGCCTCGAACTGGTGGTTGAGCTCATCGTTGATCTGGGGAGAGTGGTGAGTGAGGCTGGGGGCAGCCAGCTGGGACCGAGCGGGGCACGAGATGCTCAGAGGAGCATCCGCCGCCCCCCCTGCCCCAACCTGCCCATGACATGGGACCCTACCTGGCCGGTGGTGAAGGAACGCCCGTAGCCCTGTCCCCGTGGGAGCATTCGCGGTGGCGTGCAGCAGCTGGGACAGTTACAGATATATGAATCAGAATAGTGCCTACTTGCAAACCTAATGAGAGACAGTGGGAATAGAAGGGATCGCACCAAAAGCAACACATTCAAGCAGAGCATTTGGAAACGCAGCTGCAGCGATGGTTCCGCTGGCCGCCACCACTGTCCCTGCTCCTAACTGCGCCGAAAGGCTGTCCTGGGGGTACGGACCTGTCCCCCAGCGGTGCGGGGCCACCAGAGGGGTACACAGCAGGGCTGGGGACGAGGAGCCAGCCTGTCACCCACCAGGACTGTGTCACATCCCAGTCATCTCCTTTTGAACGTGCCTCTCCTCCCCAGCCTTTGCTCACGGCTGCAGCAGCAGGTCCCACCTGAAGCCCAGTGCAGCCACGTCCCCCCCGGTGCCCGCCAAGGGCAGCTACTGCTCCCGGGGAGCCCCAGCCCGCAGCCCCGCTGCCGCCCCCGGTGCTGAGACAGGGCCGGGAGGCGACAGCCCTTACTTGGTCCTGGCCTGGTCGGCGCTGGAGGACCGGCGGTAGCTGTCTCGCCGCGTGGCCGCCCTGGGCGATACTTTGGCGCTGGCATCTGAGTCGGCGCTGTCCTCATCACCCATGGCCTTGATGTAGCTGCCGCTGCGCATCCGCCGGCAGGGGATCTCCCCGTCTTTGCCCACCGCTGGGTACCCTCTCCACTCGTCCTGTGGCACCTGGGGCAGGAGGCAAGCGTAGGAGGACGCAGAGGCCGGGTCGGGACGCAGAGCCAAGCCCTGCGCCTGCCACACGGCACATGCCAGCCCGAGCCTGGCGTGCATGCATGGCCCAAATCCAGCATGTGTGCACAGCCCAAGGCTGGTGCACATGCTGGCATGGGTACCCTGCCCTCCCCACGGCACCCCAGAGCTGCAGGGACAGACCCTGGGGGCTCTGACCCCTGGGAAAGCCCCTAAATCCAGGAGAGCTGATCCCTCCTAACAGCCACAGCTCCCCATGCCCCATGCGGGGCTGTTCCCAAAACGCAGGGCAGCACAGCCGCTCCCACCTCACAGCCCCCCCGGCAGGCACGGCTGGGCCAAATCCCCCCCATGCCCGCGCAGCCACCCCGCCGGCGGAGGGGGCCCCCGCGGCGCGTGGCGGCGCCACTGCCCGCCCCCCGCTGCTGACGCCAACACCACGGGGTCCTTACCAGGCTGCAGCAGGGGGACGGTGTCCCCTGGGCCCCACAGGGAGGGCGGTGGGGACAGCACCCTGCCGTGATGCCCCCACTGCTGGCGGAGAGGGGCCCCGGCCGCCCCCCGCCCCTAGCCAGCGCAGCATTGCCACTCCCTGTCTCCTTCCCCCAGGAAAGGGAGAGAAGAGTTAATTAGTTTTTAATTGGAAGGGGGGTGACCTAGAAGGGAGCCCGGTGACGAGGCAGGCGGTGGCACCCAGCCAGGCACAAGCGGGATAAAAGCCGCGAAGAGGGAGCAGGCCTGGGGCCACCGGCAGCCCCAAACTGCCAGAGCCGGTCTGACCCCAAATCCAGCAGGCACAGGGCAGGAGGCGGCAGATGGGGCTTTGCGCTGCTGGTGAGGGGACAGCAGGGACAAGCGTGGGACCCCGGGGCACAGGGGGCAGGCGCTGGGGACATGGAGCAGAGCTGGAGCATCCCCACAGCACCCTCGGCTGCTGGGATGGAGGGTCCCAGCCCCGGCTCGCCCCACGGCATCGCTGGCTGTGGTCCGTGGGTGGCAGCCCCTCACCCTGCCTGGCCCCTCACCTGCAGGTACTGGTATGCTCGGTCTTTGGCCTTTGCTTCCTGAAGCATCAAGGACTTCTCGGTGCCGCCGGCGCTGGGGTAGGCTTCGCGGGCCTGGCTGACGGTCATGGTGTGCCAGGCGCTCCTCTTGAGCGTCTGGCCGTCCAGAGACATGGACATGCCGGCACAGGCCAGGCATTTTCCTTCCCCGCCGCCCTTTAGACTCTTCAAGGTCAAGTCTCTGAAGGCACTTTCGGGAGCGTCCACACAGTACTGGGTGCCCTGGTCGGTGGCGTGCCGGCCGGACACCATGTAGCTGCTGTCGCTGTCCAGGTTATCGTCGGAGCTCCACCAGCCCATCATCTTGGACCGGTGCCGGGAGTCCACCTTGCGGTCCTTGCTCTTGCTGCGCTTGCCGTGGCGGGACTGGTGGTGGTGATGGTGGTGGTGGTGGTGGTGGTGGTAGCCGTCCCCGCGGCCGTCCATCTTGGCACCGTTGTAGTCCCGCTTGGTCGGCGCCTCCAGGGAGTGGGACTTGGCGAAGAGCTTCTGGACAGAGTGGACGAGGTGACGGATGCGGCTGGGGCTCTCGCTGCGGGGCTCGGCGCCGCCGGCCCGTGGGTACTGCAGCGTGTGGAAGCCGTCGTGGTGCAGCGGCAGCTGCTTCTCGAACTGGTCCAGCAGCGTGGGGGGCAGGCGGTTGATCTTGCTGGCAGGGTGGGCGGTCGCCATGCATTCGTCACAGGAGTCGTAGGGCTGCTGCGCGTGGTGCATCCTTGGGAAGGTGCTGCTGGCGCTGGTGGAGGGCGGCTCGCTCAGGGGCCCGCCCGGGCACTCGCTGGCCGCGCCAGGGCTCCGCACCGGGCAGTAAGGATGCTCCAGAGAACACGGCTCGCTGGGACTGAGGAGGTACAGTGGCCGGCCCTCGGGGCCGTGCTGGACGTAGTTGGCAGGATGCTCGCAGTCCTCTGGGATGCAGCGGCAGCGGTGGCCGGAGGAGGGTTGTACCTGGCTACGCTCCCCATGGTAGCCCTTCATGGTGTCAGCACCCACCCCATAGCCTCGGCATCTTGCAGGGTTGTCCCTGCGGGCTCATCTGCAGGGACAGGGACAGGCACAGTGTCATGTTCCCCTCTACACCCCACCACCACTGAAAAGCTGGGGCTGTCCCGCGGGAACCGACTGAGAGGGCTGGGAAGCTCCCAGGGCAGGATCCAGCCCCAGCTGAGCCCCTGTGAAGCCAGGGCTGGAGTGCCAGAAACCCAGCTATCCATGGGGCGAGGGGGGCACGGTGCCGGGGCCGGGCACCCGGGGTCACCCTGGCTCAGCTGCTTGGAGGGGGCAGCACCAAGTGGGGAGCGAGAAGGAGAAGGCACCGCAGGCAGCAATGCAGGCAGCGCGGGGTCTGCAGACGGCAAGGGAGGACATGCTGCCATCATCAGAAACTTGTTTTCTTCTCAGACACCAAATATTATGAAGTGTTTCTCCATTAGGAAAACGGTTCTGGCTGAGTTTTTCAGCCGTTGCGATTCACAGAGCCGTTAATGAGCTGCCGCGGGGCGCGGGGGGGCCGTGCTCTGATGTCTCCATCCAGCCCATCCTACCCACACAGCCCCAGCCACGATGCCCGACTGCGGGTGGAGACCCACGACCGGCCGCCCCGCCGGCCCCCACGGCCCTGCCAGCCCCCACGGATGGAGGGCCAAGGAGTGGAGATGGCTATGCTGCATGTGGGGCATCCCCAGCACAGAACCAGGAGGATGGATGGCATCAAGCCAGGCTGAGCCCCACGACGTCCGCTGGGACGTCGGAGCTGCATGCACCCATGGAGATTTGTCTTCCTTACAGTCCCTCAAAGGCTCTGCCTTTGGTATGACTGTAAATGAGGAAATTACTTATTCTCCAGTGTAGCTCAGCTAATTAACAGGCATCGTTAATGCTCTTGTTATCATATTTGGGCAGAGTGCTGTGAGCAGCCCGTCTCTGAGACTGGCTGCAGGGAAAGGTGACCATGGGACAGTCCCTGCGGCACATGGGGTCCATCAGACACGAGGAGATTGGAAACAAGGGACAGCAGGGGACCGGGGATGCGTGGGGAGGGAGGGCCCACGCGCCCCGAGGAGCCTCAGGAGGGGAGAGGGGCTGGAGGCCCCCCAGGAGTGTGGGGGCGGGCAGCGATGCGCGCGTTGGCGGCGAGCGGCAGACGGGGCCGCGGCAGCGCCCGGGGAACGCGTCTGCCCTAATAAGCCTCCGCCGCCGCCTTCCTTCCCGGCTTCAAGGCTGGATGGCTCGGTCCTGCGCCTCACCCCCCTGCCCTCACAATCTCACTCCTGCTCTAACGAGGCTCCCTAATTGCTGCATCTTAACCAAAGGATGGTGCAGCCTGTTACAAAAAGAAATGCCTCTCCCCTCCTGGGAGAGCTGCTACGAGGAGCGGGCACAGCAGTGTGGGAGAGGGCCGCCTCCCCTGCCCCGGGATTGAACGAGCAATCAGCAGCAGGATGGACAGACAGTCAGACGGGCTCCCAGCCCAGGCTCTGCCTCCGCGGGCTGAGCTATCATCTCCTGCTCGGGGAGGGAAGCTCTCAGCTGATCCAAATATTGCCACTGCAGCGGGAAGAAGGAGTCAAAATAGCTGAGCAGCCCGTCACCACGAGCCCAGCGGGCTTTTGTGCTCGGCAGGCACAGGAATTAAACAAAGCTGGGCCCCGCTGCCGCGCTGGCGAGGCAGCACCGCAGCTCTCCCACAGCCGCAGGCAGCGGCGGAGCAGCGGGATGGGGCAGAGGATGGGGACACGCCGTGGTGGAGGATGGGGACGTGCCATGGTGAAGGATGCCATGTCCCAGCCAGTACCAGTTCACCAAAGCCACACAGGCGCCTGTGCCCTGGCCAGGGACCAGCCGGTCCCCCTGGGGACAGGGAAGGGGTCGGGAGCAATCCTGTGCGTCTCAACACAGGCAGCATGGCCCAGGGTCCCCGTCCCCATGTCCTGGCGGGGATGGCCACATATAGAGGGCAGGAGAAGCCACCGAGCCCGCTCCTCTCCCCGGCCCAGGGTGGGCAGCGCAGGCAGGAGGCTGCCACACGGGGCAGGGGGAGCCGGCCGAAGTGCGGCTCATGGGCAGACGGCCGTGGCGGAGAGCCGGAGCTGCGTCCCGCTGAAGGCTGCTCACGCTGCGCAGCCCTCGGGAAGGAGGGGATTTGTGCCACCAAACTGCAGACTCAAAAAGGAGGGGAAAAACCCAGCCTGGCTGAATTTTGTGCCATTTAACACCAGGGTAATTACCACCAGTGGAACCTACCGCCCACACAATTATGTGCTAGGATAAACTGGAAGAGTATAATTACCATTACAAATAACTCACTTCTTGCCTTTATTGCATCCAAAGCCTGGAGAAACTCCCACCGGCGATTCCCCCACCACCACCTTCCCTCTGACGTCTGCTCCCACCGCGTCTCCCCGCCGCAAGGGTGAGCGCAGGGAGGAGAGGGGCCCATAGCCCCTGGCACTGCGGGCCACACCGAAATTCAGCGCCCCCCACTTAATTTCCCATAGGGGCACTTGGCAGAGGCAGTTCTGCTTCCCAGCGAAATGCCCTGGCACAGGGCAAAGCTGGGCTTTCCAAGATTTCTAGGTCAAACCCCAAGAGCCAGGGTTGCCCAGGGGGTCCCGGCCCCCTGCCCTTCCCAAGCAGCCCCCGCCACGGGCAGCGTGTGCCGGGGTCCCAGCGAAGCCCGTCGGTGGCACTTACCGCCCGGCGTTCAGGGGGATGCTGTCCTCATGGCCCGGCCAGTGGCGGCTCCTCCGCGCTGGGTCTCCCAGGGGGAAGCAGGCTCTGGGGGAGCGACACAAGGGGGATGAAGCCCGGAGAGGAAGAGCAAGGGTGTTCCTCCCCAAAAACAGCCTGATCCCACTCCCCATGTATTTTTTTAGCAGCTCAGCCTTCCCTCCTCCCCCGAGGCCACCCCGTAGGCAGCGCTGCCTGCACCGGCAGCGACGGGGATGGCTCCGCACAGCCACGGACACGTGTTTCGCCCAGCTTAGCCCCAAAACCATCCCCAGCGCCATCCTCTTATGCAATTCTCTGCCAGCGGGTGCCAGAGCTGGCCCAGCGGCCGCCTCGCCATTGACTTTGATTTGCTCCAGATCCAGCCATATGCTCCACAAAGCCTCCTCCCGCCACCCCGGCTTTCCAGCGTGAGCAAAGGGATTTTTTCCAGCTGCTGGCCCGGCAGAGGCGCGAGCTCGGCCCATTCTGCTTTGCAAATTAGCGCGAGGTTTTGCCAGCGCAGGTCCTGCTGGGGATCTTTATGGCTGGGGATGAAAGCAGGAGAGAACAAACACGCAGTGTGAGTGCCCAGCGCCACGCGCAAGCTGGAGCCTGGAAAAAAAAAAAAATAAAGTGGTCTTCCCACTCAGGAGCTGAGCAAATTTGATCTACGGTCATCAGAAGAAAATAAATATGGAATATCGCCAGGTCGTTTCCACCATGCTTTTAATCTATTTACTTTCTCCCAACTCATTGTAAGCGAGGAGGATTGTAGATAGCAAACATTTTATTTCATTGCTAATTGCTCTGTTTATTAGGCTGTATTAGTAAAATTTACTCAGCCTGGAAAAAAAAAGGGGGGCTTAGTAAGACATCACCTGATTTAGTACATAAATCTGCATCGAGTCATTATTTTCTTGAAAGTTGAAGTAGCTGAAAGCAGCTCACCGACAGTTTGTTAGTGGTGTCAGGCAGGGAAGAGTGTCATTAGGAGAGGTTCACCACCCCGGTAGGTAAGGGCTGGCCAGGGGATGGGGACGGGGAGTGAGCAGGTACAAAGATCACAGCAAACGTGCTCAACGCAATCAGGAAATCAAATCTGTTCAGGAAAGGAAACCAAGCGGGCAGCAGGCGGGCACTGCCCGGGGAGGGTTGTGAGGGGCAGGAACCAACTGGCCGCCACTGTAAATAAGGGATGAGGTGAGATTTTTAAAAAGTCATGAAGGACAAATACCAGCTGAAGAATTGCAAATGTGAGTGGAGCAAGAAGTGTTTACCGAGGCCACCGAGAAGGGCCAGCAGCATCGTGCTGCTCAGCACGGCCGGCCGGCGCCCTGATGGAGCTGGGCTGGGGGGCCCTGGCACCCCAATGCCGCGGGGCATCTCCCCCGGCTCAGCCCTGCCCCAGCACATCCCCCCTCGCCGAGCGCAGGCGCTTCCCGATCACCAAACCCACGGTGCCCCAGGGCTCGAGCCCAGCGCTGCCGCCCCACTCAGCGTGCAGGGAGGCTGAGGACAGGCCGTTCGACGGGAGGGGCAGGTTATTAAGCACATGATTAATTTTGGCACCGGCACCGGCTGCCTGACAGCTCCTTCTCCAGGGCTGGGGAGAGCAAGCGCGAGAGGTGCTGCCTCTGCTGATGCAGCGGTTGGTGGGATGAAAAATCCTGCAATGCAGCACTGCTTCTTAATGAGCCATTTGTCTTTGAGTCTTCTTGACTCATTACCATGCGGGGAGAGGGATGGGAGTTGCCCCAAGTCCCCATCTGAGCAATTACTCCTGGAGCAGAGCGAGGAAATACGGCCATGACGCGCCCCAGCTGCCAGGGATCCCGGCACGGCCGCCAGCACCGGGACTCCCCGCCGCAACGCAGGTGCCTCCCAGCAGAGTGGGACCCCCAGCCCTGCACAGCACATGCAGCCTGGACAGCCTGGTTCGTGGAGCTGATTCCCCCGGGGCAAGAGCCACGCTCCTGTGCTGGGGCATGCAAGGGAGCCAGAGCACCCTGGGGCTGCCAGGGCAAAGCCAGTGGAGAAGGGAGCCTGGCGCTCCATCCCTGCAAAGCCCAAACCTGGATCTTGGCAGAAGAGCCACTTCTTCAAAAGCCCTGTACAAGCGGGGAGCGGCCAGGGCCAGGGGCCAGAGCCCACAAAGAAGCTGGCTGAGAAGGAAAGAGGTGGCCCAGGGAAGGGGCTGCGCCAGCGTTCCCAGGCGGGCATGGGCAGAGGCAGGGCTGGCAGGGGGGAGCTGTCCCCAGCCACAGGCA